CTATGGCATGAATATTTATCCTCCTCCACTGTTCAATAATGACCCATTATCGCCAGTCTTTTCTTCAAAGCACCAAAAATTCTTCCAAAATTTGATGTAAGCCACATCAGATGCTTTCTAGATTGATCTACCACAGTTACTGCAAAACCCCAATACAGTGCTTCAATGTTTGATTCGCCTTCCTTATTTGCTCTTATCTCAGCGAAGTAGTCTGGAAATGCTTAGGGTCAATCTAGTAGAGCCACTTGAAAGATATTGTTTGTGACAGATCTCCCTTATGAACAATATAAGTACAAAAGCGATGACCTGCTTTTGATTGTGCATGTTGACTTGAATTAAAGATTGAAAAGATTAATACGAAAAAAGTCCCTCCATTGACTACTGTACTAAAGCAGTTTTTATCGAGAATTCGATTTAGAGACGAGTTGGAGGAAATAGCTGGATCCAAGAAGGATGTGTTATACGGACCTTCATCTTACGGCCATCTTGTACAACTTATTAAAGCATGCCCTGGAGCAAGTGGTACCTATGATCGGACTAACAAAGTTGAGCCCGTGATGAGCAATGCTCGGACGAACAATATTGAGCCCAACGAGATGAGCAAAACAGGCAAAAGCGGCATGACGCAGGTGCACCTTTCAAATGGTTTTTTGATGAGGGTCTATTTAGTGATGCTCATCATAAATGAGAAATATGTGTAAAAGATCCTTATAGAAAGGAGGTTTTTAAAGGCTAGGCCCTCTCCCTCAGAGTATGAGACTACAACGGATGAAATAGGCAGGAGTTTAATTGCGATACCTCATGTGCCCGAGTTCTCGGGTGATGATGCAAGTGGAGATGAAGAACAAGGTAGATGATTATCTGCCTGCTTCGTGAAGTCCAGTAATTAAAAATGGATATATTATAGGGACAGAATCACCTTTTCTGGCATCAGCATATGACCAGCCTTCTATTAACAACGATGAAAATGGTGCCGATTTCATTAGTAGAGCCCTCTTTCAGCTTGTTTAAAGCATATAAAATTGTTTGCCTTTTCTTTCAGAGAATGTACAGCATAGCGGTAATTCTAATGGAATCGAATTCACACAAAATAGGGATTCTGCTAATGAGCCCATAAGTACGCCTATCTGTTTATTTAAACTTTTGAATATGATAAAAAATGTATTGCACTGGTACAGACGTACAGGAATTCGCTTACCATATTACAGAACACGTACAGACAAAGGAGATGTTGCCTGAAAAAGAATCCGCGCAGGACCCAGGTCCTCTCACAAACATTACAAGTGTGTTTATTCCCATTTTCAACGCTATATCATCAAAGTTCACTATATGTTATAAACGTATATTTGGATGCTAATTGTGGGCAATTCTCAAAACTTAATGTGTCGTATGCCTCTTAGAGTAGTAACGATGTCACCGAATTTTTTCTTATTGCAGAAGATACCCGCTCTGATGAAGAGCCTTCCGAAACAGAACCCGAACAAAGTACGAACTACACCAAAGGCTTAATAAGTGCGTCTAAACGTATTATAGTATTTATTAGTTGCAGCTTCCATAACTAACACTTCTGGAATGACTAGGTCTCAAATAGGTTATAATATGTTGGTTTTTTTCTACCTAGTTTTTTATATCTCCGATCTTATTTACGAGTCTGTTCGGCAGCATGACGTTATTA